TATATATATATATACCCCTCCCTGGGCTGCCACCTTACCGTGGTGGAGGGGTTTGAGTGTCCCAATGATCCTAGGAGCTATGCTGTCAGGGGCTTTACGCCCCCAGTAGGGTCACCCATGGCAGACAGGTCCTAGGTGAGGGACCAGACAAAGTGCAGCCCAAAGACCCCGATGAAGAGAAAAATAAATTGACTTAATGTTCCCTTGCCCAGACGTGGGTCACCGGGGCCCCACTCTGGAGCCAGGCCTGGAGGTGGGGCACGTGGGCGAGCCCCATCTGGAGATTTTGTTCTTAGATTTCTATAAGGCCTTTGATACAGTCAAGCACCAGTCCATCCTACAATTATTACATAAATTTGGCTTTGGCAACTACTTTTCCTCTGCTATAAAGACACTTTATACGAACAGCAATAGCTCTATTAAACTGCCAGGTGGCACATCACCCAGATTCAATCTCTCCAGTGGAATAAGACAGGGCTGCCCTGCTCCTCCAGACCTCTTTTTGCTAATGGCACAACTTATGGCATCTCATATTCCAAACGGTGCTGTAGAAGCATCTCTCCTTGGTAATAAGCTCATTTTAACACAACTCGCAGATGACACAACACTTTTTTTTTTATGAAAGTCAAATTTCTGTAGCAATCAATACAGTTCAGGAGTTCTCAAGGGCATCTGGTTTATCCCTCAATATTAAGAAATGTGAAGATTATGCCAATTAAAAACTGTTTTAAATCTGAGCTGTGTAACATCCCTGTAAAAGAGGAAGTGTGTTACCTAGGTGTTGTAGTAACAACAGTTCAAAATAGAAGGAGCACCTCACCTCCAACTTTAACCCAATCATACACAAAACACAAAATAAATTAAATCAATGGCGCCTACGAGATTTATCTTTGAAAGGAAGAATTTTGCTCACGAAGGCTAAAGGCATCTCAAGGTTAATATATGCAGCTTTGACTCTACACCTCAGCAATGAAACTCTAAAAGTAATTGATAAAATGCTCTTTAACTTTGTATGGAAAAATAGAACCCACTATCTGAAGAAGCCTGTTATTATGAATTCGTATGAGAATGGTGGTCTTAATGTTCTGGACTTTGACACTCTAAACAACACATTTAAAATCAATTGGATTAAACACATCTTCAAAAATCCGACCTCAACTTGGAACGTTATTCCTCTCCATATATTATCCAAGCTTGGTGGTATTAACTTTTTTCTCGTTTGTAATTATGACATCGAAAAGATTCTTGTTAAGTTATCGGCTTTTTATCGTCAGGCCTTTCTCTCATGGTCTCTCTTATACAAACATAACTTTTCCCCTCACAACTATCTGATTTGGAACAATATAAGACATTTTATACAAACGCAAATCCCTAATTCTGAAATATTGGTTTAAACATAACATAATATAGGTCTAGCAGTTGTTCAGTAATGAAGGCCTACTGCTCACTCATGAAGAATTTCTTAAAAAATACAACATCCCTATAACTCCTGGAGACTATGCAAAGGTCTTTGGAGCCATCCCATGTGGTGTATGTATGTATGCTTTTTAAAGGTCATCAGAGGGTTGACACTTATATTCTTACCTGTCCATCCCCAGCAGATACAGCTGTAGGAAAAGTTTGTTGTTCCGGTCATCCTGTAAATAATTACAAACTTGTACGAGCCCTATAAGAACATCACAACACGACCAGCTGTTGTTCCGCATTGGAACAGGTTTGTTGAGGGGATATCACAGGAAAAGGTCTGGCTTCTTCCGAACAAATATTTGATTACAAACAAGATTAAAGAAATCTCCTACAAAATCATCTATAAAATCTATCCAGCTAAGTCTTATATCAAAACTAGATTCAAGAAAGAAGTTGACATTAACTGTGGTTTTTGTGATGGATGTCCTGAAACTGTTCTCCACCTGCCCAACATTTTTCAGTCAGGTCATCTGGACAATTTCTTTTATTGTGCTGAAACGTTTCGCCTTCGGTCCGGAATGACCTGTCCAGACGACCTGACTGAAAAATGTTGGATTGTATACCTGGATTATTGAGCATGGACTTTGTTGTTTTCAACCAGTTTGACAAGACTGTCAACAAGGAAGAGGGCCGGCAATGGAGGAGGGGGCGTACCAAAAAGACCATCTTATCACAAGCAGAACTGGTTTGTTCCACTTTGGAGTAAGCTGTTGGGGGAAGAATCAGTTTTGTTGTGTGTTTCCTTGACTGATGAAGCCTTCTGGACCGAAGGTGAAACGTTTCAGCACAAAAAAAGAAACTGTCCAGATGACCTGACTGAAAAATGTTGGATTGTATACCTGGATTATTGAGCAAGGACTTTGTTGTTCTCCACCTGTTTTGGTACTGTCCTTTTGTTAATTTATTTTGGCAGAAACTATGTGACTTTATTGACAGTAACATTGAAGCAGATCTTGGTCTTCTGTGGAAACTTGTCTTGCTCGGCCTTTTTGAAAAACATATGCATAAAAACAATTCTGACTACCTTATAAACTTTCTACTATTACTGGCAAAATATCCCATTCATTGAAGAAAATACTCTGGAAGGAAACCAAGCTTTGATGCATTGAAGTTAAGTATTATATTCGGACAATTAAAGACTCTGATTAAAAAAAGGTACTAAAAACTACTGAAATATGCACTGCAATGAATGTATTTTTAGAACCGTAAGCCCCCCAGCATTATTTTATTTTATTTTTTTCTGTGTTCGGTTCCTTGTGTTCATATATTTTGACTGACATGTATAATAATTTGTCCTTTTTTTGACACGAACCTTGTTTTGTAAACTGTTAATTTTCAAATAAAGTTGGAGAAAAAAAACTCAGGCCTACAAAAAAAAAAAGAATACACACTTCCTCATAGATATCATCCATCCATCCATCCATCCATTATCTTTACCCGTTTATTCCATTTTTTTTGGGTCACGGGGGTCGCTGGTGCCCATGTCCAGCAATCACTGTGCGAGGGGCGGGGGACACCCTGGACAAGTCGCAAGTCCATCACAGGGCCATAGATATCATATAAACACTATATGTGATTATATATTATATTATATTATATTATATTATATTATATTATATTATATTATATTATATTATATTATATTATATTGTATTATAATTCTGATTACATGATGTCTGTGCAGTTCCTCATTTTCCTGGCTGTTCATAGACCCTGCCAGCAGGTGGCGGTGGCGCCTCTGAGTGGCTGTTCATAGACCCTGCCAGCAGGTGGCGGTGGCGCCTCTGAGTGGCTGTTAAACCAACAACTCGCTCCAAACAAGAAGAAGAAGAAACCCGCGAGGGCGCTTAAGTTTCTTGTGTGCTAACTCGGAGGAGAAGCACGGCTACGATCTAAATATAAAAACTAATGCATGAATTTAGTAATACAACAGCTTTATTGGGCTACACGCTTGTTTTTCACAACTCTTTTTACTCTTCCACTATTTTAACGCCAACAAAATGGCTCCATTCAATCTAATGACATCTACAGTTAGCCTTTTAGCTAAGTCCTTCACGGTGTTCTACACGGGGAATCCTGCAAGGTAGCTAACTTTGTTTTACCGGGTTCTGTTGGCTTGCTGAGGTTCTACTAAAGTCTCATGCTAGTATGTGTTGAGTACCGTAGTTTAAAGCATGTAAATCAAACATCGTATGTATTACGGGTGGCATGGGGAAACAGTGGTTGGAGCTTTTGCCTCACGAGCAAAAAGGGTTAAAGTTCGCGTCCCGGTTTTTCTGTGCGGATTTTACGTTCTCTGGGTGCTTTGGTGTGTTCCTAGAGACCAGAAGCATTCATGTTGGGTTTGTTTTTAGGTGTGACTGGTGGGGATAGTTGTCTCTCGTGTCCCTATGCTGGACTGGAGACCTGTCCAAGTTGTCCCCCATTTTTCATACTGTGATAACCGGAGGGACAGGTGTTCCCTGTGACCCAGAAAGGAAACGTGGGTTAAGAAGATGGATATTTACTAAACTGAGTAATCAACTATGTAGTCTTCAATCAAATAATCCAGTCCGGCAAGTTGCAGTATTTTTTAAAAGTCACAGATTGTTGACCTGAGAACTTGGCACTTTTTAAAAAAGTGAATTGAGTGTGGTGAGTTTTTCTACACAGAAGCGTCAAACTTGTGTTAAAGTGTTACTTGGACCTGAAATAGCAGAACTATGATAATGACCATTACCTGGGTTATCTAAACATGTTGAACGTAATGGGTGTGTGGTAAATTAATCTGCAAAATATGAAGTTTGCACCCCATGTTTAGGTGTGCCAGTGTCTTCTGCTCTGCAAATGTAAACCTGGTAAAGTATTTGACCACTCAGGCCAGTGGTCCTCCAAAGAAACCTCTGAACGGATACATGAGATATGTTCTTCAGCAGAAGCCGATGATGACGAGTCAAAATCCAGGTAAACCAAAGTAACTTTTGTGTTTAGACAATAGGTTAACGTTAGGGATGGAGAGCTGTAGAACAGTGCGGGTGTCAGACATTTGGTCTATAATCATATGAACATCTAAATGTTTTTCTCCTGCCTTAATTTGATCAGTCCAGACCTCAAACGTTGTTTAACCCTGTTGTAATTGTGTCATTCAGAGATCAAATTAATGGATGTCGTTAAGAAGCTTGCCCAGCAGTGGAGAACAATGAGCCCGGAACAGAAGCAGGTATTACTGAACTGAACCCGAGTCAAATCCTTTTAGAAACTGTGAAGTTATCAAAACTGTGGATTTGGGAGTTTGCCGGTGACTGAAGCTTGTGGTTTTCTTTCTCCATTAAAGCCGTTTCAAAAGGCCTGTCTCCAGGACATGGAGCAGTACAAGTATGACCTCGAGAAGTACAAGTCACAGCTGACCCCAGTCCAGCTTCAGAATCTGGCCACAGAGAGAATGATGAAGATCAAAAAACGAAAAGCCACAAAACAAAAGAGGGTAAGAGGAGTTATTTTATTCTAAACCACTACTTTTCCCCATCGAAAATCAAAATTTGCTGTTTTATTTCAGTTGATTTTGTTTTTAAGAGTCAGCTTTGGCATTAACTGAAAACTCTAAAGCCTGTATTTTGTACTTAAAATTTTTATTTTACAATTTTTAAGTGCTAACGATTAGGGATGCACCGATCCACTTTTTTTTTTTTTTTTTTACTTCCGATCCCGATACTTAGATCTGAATATCTTCCGATTTCAAATCCAGTTCCGATATCATGATCATCATAGATTTTATATGAGGCTGTAATAATCTGCTCTCAAGTACAATTTGTACAAATATATTCATGCATGACCAAAAAGACAACTTGAGGTAAGTTTTAATAATGTTGGATAAGTTTTAAAGTTAGAATTAAATTCTAACACAAAACATGTTTCTTTTTATTCCTAGTTTTAAAGTGGATATTAAAGTGATTAATTTAAGTGATTGTTTAAAGTTATTTTATTTTATTTTTTTAAATAAGGGGCAGATATAAGAATTTTTTTCTTCTTTCTGCACTCTTTTCATTCAATGTTTTCTTTTTGATTAATTTGTTTTGTTTATTTGGTTTCTTTTAAATGAATGAATAAATGAATAAAAAAAATATTTAAATGGCTTCAAACACCTGCTAAGTTCATGGCATAAACCAACAGACATGTTCCTGTTTTTAGTATTTTACATCACTTTATAATGTAGCTGTTTTTGTTCTATTTTTTATTTTATTTTATATATATATATATATATATATATATATATATA